ACAAAAAAGAGGAAAGTATGAAGCTCAACAAAACTTGGCTCCCAGCTCTCAAACATACTACGTGCAAAAGGTCAATGAACTCTACCCACCCACAAGGACAGGGGATCACTACACACAAAAGACCAGCTAATGACACCCATCAACCACAGGAACAGATAATCTCTTCCCCTTAGCACAACAATACACACTAATCACCCATCTACAGGAAAAGACAAAAGCCTGTCTCACAGCCATAAATACTGCACTCCCAAACTAACTACACCAGTGTACAGGTTGCTGTCCTCTGAAGATGCCGGCCACAGAGACTGGCGGAACGTCAGGAAGAACAACCTTCAGAATACGGCCAAAGAGCCTGAAAAACCCAGAACAACCATTAGATTACTTGCTCTTTGTGCATTTAATCTTTTTTTTAATTAAAAAACATGCTTGTCTGTTAGTAGTGTTCTGGCACTCACACTGTTTTTATTACAGTTGTTTAAACAGTATTGCCAGTTGTACTAAAGAGTGCTAATTGGCAGAGTAGCCCATTGTAAGGAAAGAAGGAGGATATTGGACCTGCTGCCGCTTATCTCATAGTAAATTTTTGAAAAGATACGTTGTTTGGCAACCAAGGTGCCGTGAAATTCAAAGGCACCTCAGCTGATCTGAGCAGCGATGTTGCCATAGTCCCACTCTGTTTTTTGAGCATATAGCCATTGTGTCTCTTCTAAAGCGGTGGTATAAATATCTAGCAAAAAATATTAATTTTAAGAAGTTGTGAAATGTAACTATTATTGAAGTGTTATGAGAATTTTGCCTCACCTTGAAATAGCAGCCTAACATGTAAAATGCACTTTTATATCAGTCTTTAATGTGGAAATTTAGTAACTTGCTCCAAAGTTCAATATAGCTTATTCATATGGAGTAATGTTGTTGTTTCTATTTTAAATGTAATCTGTGTATTATAAAACTGATGATTTGAAGGCAAAAAATAGAGATGCCTTATGCACAGCTTTTCTTTCATACAAGTGTGATATCGTAAGTATTTCTAACTACTGTATTATATAAACGTGGATACTTTATCCTGATAGGAAGGGATCTGCAGCCCCACTTAACAGGAAAGTCTCCTGAGATGTTTCCTCCTTCTATGGTCCCTGTCCCCTTTCCGCAGATTCATAGACCAGCAATTTAAAAATAATTTGATATATGCCAGTATAGGTGATGTCATTGTCTTAGGTATGTGTACAAGCAGAAGAACTGCAAATTATGCAAGGCAAATCAGGCTTGCTGTGGAGTATACAACCTAGTACCACGTCAGTAGCAAATTTGCAGGCGTCTCAACAACCATATGTGTTCACTGTGTACATTGGACTTCTAGGATGGTGGCTGGACAAATGGCACATAGCACGGACCAAATCTGAGACTTTGCAGGTGTCCAAATATTAACACCAATCAAAGAACAAATTGACTGAAATTGTGTGTGGCGACTTCCATGCCTTGTGACTACCAAATCTATTAATTAATATTGGATTTTGCCATCTTCCTCATTTCTTTGCAGGACTAATATTTTATCAAATGACACGATATATGTAGACTTTGTCAACCTCAGTAAAAGATAGGCAAGCGTGAGCTTCGTGGCATGTGGATTGGGACAAGAAAGGCTAGAGCTGCGACGGAGAAGCTTTTTGGAGCCCAAGTGCCCAAACTGGGGGAAAGGGGGAACCAGCGGGTGGCGGGTGGAAGTGGCAGTGGCGGATGTGGAAGAGGCAGCAAAAGGGGGAATCCCGGACACGGAGGTCCTTCCAGACCCCACTCCAGATCCGCCTCTAATTGTGCCCAACCCTTACCAGCACCAATTGCTCTGGATTCTGGCCCACTGCCTGTCGGGGTGCTAGCACCACCGCTGCCGCTGCCTCCTCAGGTTTGGCTGCCGGGGTTAGCGATCCAGTGACTCATAGCTCGCATGCCCGCAGAGAGAGCTCCGCATGCCAGCTGTGACACGTGTGCCATAGGTTCGCCATCGCTGGGCTAGAGGAAAGCTGATGCTGCAGAGAAGGTCTGCAAAGCGAGCTGTTTACTCTTCCAATACTGATGGAAACTTTCCACTGGTGGGTTTAAATAAAACAACAGTTTTTCTTATGCCACCAATGGTCAAAGATCTAGCGTGGTTTAGTAGGTAGAAGAGCCCAATTTGATGTCCTCTGTGTTTTTACATTATATTCCCATTATCTTTAAACGGCATGACCATTAGCCACTTGCTGGGAATGTTTTGATTTGTACTTCAGCACACCAGAAGGGCACAAGGTTGAGGACCTGAGTTCAAAGTTTACTCAGTCATGCCACTCTGGATATCATGGGGGGGGGGTTGAGAATTGTATAAAGGTCTAATAGCCAATATCCTGTTGAATTTTCACATTGGTGTAATACATTGTTGTAAATAGCACTGGTAATGTCCTGCAGGTTAAGACATGAATGTAGGCCTTTGCCTTTGCACGTTGAGTTGGGCAAATGTCTATGCTAACTTCTTAACTTGCAGCAATTTGCCAAAGAGATTTACATCAGTTGGTTTGCACCAGTAGGCATAACTAATAGGATTTTGGCCAATATATTCTTTGCTGTAAAGACAATTGAGAAGCTTAGCAGGGCTTGAGTTCTTGTGTTGAGTGCAATGTTAGGTGCTTCATTATTAAATAATAAAGTCTTGCTGACTGACTGCTTCATGATACCCATGCTTATAGCTGGCATTACACATCTACATGGCTTTTAATTTGAGGAATCATATGTAACATCCTATGGTAGTTTGTAGGTCCTTAATGGTTTCTCTGTTATTTCACCAGTGGAAACTAAATAAAGTTAAAACTGAAAGTAATTTAATTAACAGCTGTCAATTTTTGTGAAACCATGGCTAAAAAAACTATTATCTGTGGTAGAAGAACACATAGTGCATTGAACTGGGACACTGGAAGCGGCGAAGAGAGAGACTGGCATGTAAAGAATGAGAGAGAAAGGACCCTAAATTGCTGTTATGCTCCCAGTTTGATGGGGGGGGGGAGTAAAAACCAGTATTTTCTCATTCGTTAGACTACATAACATCTGAGACAGGATTCTGTGATTTGTACCCAAATGCAAAAACGAAAAGAGAAGAAACTTTTTTGTCTTTAACATCTGAGACAGGATTCTGTGATTTGTTCCCAAATGCAAAAAGGAAAAGAGAAGAAACTTTTTTGTATTATGTCCTGAAACACTAGGTAATATTTATTTATTTATTAGTAGTAGTATTTAAGGAAAACTTAATTTCAGTGCTTGAAGAAGATGGGAATCTGATAACCATTTAATTGCTAGAGCAGAGATCTTCAACCTACACACTCAGTACTGATACATTTTTTCACATGTTCTATTATATATTACTGCATTCTTTCTGCTCTGAGGGTTGGGTATTGAATAATCACCTTCTCTGAAACATGCTATTCAATTAGCATAGAATTATAACGGGCCTCATATATCAACTTAAAGGGCTGTCGGCTAAAGCTTTATTAATGTGCATGCATAATGCATTTGATGGGGAAAGTGCTTTTCTTAATGAACAACTTCCTTACAAGATAGGCAGAAATCTATGTCCTCTTGCTAAAATACTTATTTCCCTTGTGCTGTAGCGATCTGTTCATTATTAATGATTTTAAAACAGTTGCTGGTGTTGGATGACAAGGGAAAATAAAGTCTTACCTTGCAAAAATAATGGAATTCCACACGGTAGGTCATATTGGCTTCATTACAATTTTGGAACCTCTTCTGCAAAAAGGGAATTTTGTAGCAGCTCTCTTTATAGAGCCCAATCCAGAAAAGTTTTCTTTTGTGCAAAGCAGTGCAACTCAATCAATCTAAGTATTCTAACTCAGCCATTCTAAGTCTTAAGTACAGACTTCAGGTATGCCGAAGAGCTATCATGCTGCTTACAAACATGAACTTACTCATGGTGCTATGTTGTTCCTAATTTATAGGAGTTGTAGTAATTGTAATAAGACTAGTCACTAAGTACACACACAACTTTATCAGGTTATTGTAAGAAAGTTCACCCACCCAGTTAAGTGTGATGGGTTTCTCCCCTACTCCATTTGCCTAATATTATTTATTTTTCAGGTGTATCATCAGATCAATGTATTGATGCTTTTATTTCCCAATTCTTTCTGAACTGGTTATTGCATTACCTATAGTTCTGTAAAACTTTTAGCATGAAAGCATACTAGTAATGTTGAATTAGATATTGTAATATAACAAAAAGAAGATGAATGTACTTTGCGGCTGCTTTATCAGTGGATTATTTCTCTTATAGGCTGCAACCATATAACAGAATGTTACATAGAGAGTGGGACCAACCCATGACAATTGAAATGAGAATCTTCCAGACTTTTAATAAACATGTGTCTCTTTCCAGTATGGTTTCCTCAAGTCCTTTCTCCACCCGTCCTTCCAACTGTAATTTATTTTGGTTTATCAGTTGTATAAATCTGCCTCACAATGCAAAGAGCTTGGTTTTTCTAGGATATTTTGCTTGTGCAATTGTTCTCACTGATGGAAAGGGATTAAATGATTCCCCGCCCTCTGTTCCCCCTTGGCCCTCCACTCCAGAGAGTGGAGAAGCCCTCAAGAACAACATGGGAGATCTGCAGAAGTTGACATGAAGGGCTTGGAAGGGAAACAGCTAAAATTTGCTTTCACTACAGATGCCTTTATGTGTCTGAAAGACCTTTTCATGAAAAGAATGGGCACTTCTGTGGAGTCCTCCCATTAATAGGAGAGGGTCAGGTTTAAAGCTACAGTGTGCACCATGCGTTCATCGGTGTGTTTAATTGTGATGAATTCTGAATTATAACTCTTAAATCAGAACTCTTTCACTCTACTGTTCAGAATAAGCAGAACAGAATTTTCAGTATTCAGTATTCTGTGTATCCATATTAAAGTAACCTTGGAATTTTCTGCCTTTGTAAACTCATGATGTTTGAATATTCTGTGTTTTTCTTTAGTTGAGGAACTGGACTGTTGAAGAACTTCAGCGGAGACTTGGGGCACTAGACCCCATGATGGAACAAGAGATTGAAGAGGTTCGCCAAAGGTATCAGTCAAAACGGCAGCCTATTCTTGATGCCATCGAAGCAAAGAAAAGACGCCAGCAGAATTTCTGAGAAAACCTTCGCTGTAGAATAGATTTCCCTAACAATAAACTGTTCCTCTATGACTACTGTGTAGGTGATAATTGTTTAAAAATGTTTTAGCAAAGCAGGCAAAGTTGTCATTTACTGTAGCACCTTTTCAAACTCAGGAATGTTCTTGGAAGAAGCTCTCATGAACAGGTTACACAATTTTCAATGTTAGAAATGTTTTAAATAGATCGCATGATGTTTTTGAGGAATCCTGTTAATGTTTGGAGCTAGCATTTGTTTTTATGAAGCTGAACAGCAATTGGAAATAGACTAAAGAATACTGGCACTCACAATTTCACTGTCTCCCTCAATGTCATGAGTTCTGTATGGTGATGGTGAATGGCTTTATTTATTTTATTTTATTATTTTGTGAAGGGGGAAAAAAGTAGATAAAATGGTATCTTTTAGGCCAGGGAACAGGGGTAAATTACCCAAAATGGGGTAAAAATGAAAATCCTGGGGGTAATGAAGACGGTCCCGGCAGTGTAACTATCTTCATTACCCCCAGGCATTTTCTTTCTGACGATACTGTGTGTAGGTGGGCATTCCATTGCGGGAAGAGCAAGCCCCGGTGAGGAACTGCACAGGGCACCCATCTGCCCTCCTCGCCTCCAAATTGGGGGGGGGGCAGTGGACAGGGCCAGCTGGAATGTTTGCCTGGTGGAGCCCTGGTCGGGGCTTTCCTTCCTGCCCGCGCCCGTCCACCCACTGTGCTGGCAAGGAGCCCCCCTTCCCACCCTGCCTCACCTGAGATCATGGCCAGTGGACCTGCCGGACCTGCGGCGCCCGCCTCCCCTCACCAAGGACGCGATTTCCCAGAAGCGTGGCAGCTCCAGACTAGCTGCTCGGGTGGCAGCTGCAGGTCCCGGGCAAGTGCAGAGACAGGAAGGGGGGGTCGGCCGTGGATGGCGAGAGCGGAGGGGTGGTGCTGGGAGGGGGCAGGGTAATGTTGGCATATATAAATTTTTTGGAGGGGTAAAAGATAAAAATTTCCCTGACCCCTGTTTTAGGCTGATGTGCTGGGATGCCTGGGGATTTTCTCTACAAAATTCTAGACATGTCTGTGAGTATGAGAAAATTCGCACATTTGCCTGGTCATCTAAACCACTGGTTCTCAACCTTGGCTTACTCAGGAGTTTTGGACTGCAACTCCCAGAAGCCTTCACCACCAACTGTGCTGGCTGGGGTTTCTGGGAGTTGCAGTTCAAAAACATCCGAGTAACAAAGGTTGGGAACCTAGGATCTAAACATTCCCAAGATATGTTTTATTTAACGTCTTTCATACTTACTGTTTGCAGTAACCACTGTATATTAACCTACCTCCTCTCATGTTTGCCGTATTATTGTTTAATGGTACTATGGACATATTTTTTAAAACAAAAGTGATTCACTGGCAAGAATATGCAACCTCTTCCAGTGTCTGAAAGAGCAATATAAGCCTGCTTTTAATCCATTTCAAAAGCCTCTAAAAATCCATGCCTTACATGGTCCCATTAAAAGCATTGGTGTTTCAATTATTTTTTAAAAAGACAACAACTATATGTGTATTTAAAAGTGCTGGTACTTTTTGAATGATTTCTTGGTATTTTCCAATATGTACTATAATATGAAGCCAGTCTATCACTCAAGAAAACATGATTCATACATCCTTTGTAATATTTTTTTCCAGAATTCCTTACAGCAGATAAATATCACAGTACTTGCAACTCAGGAAATTAGGAATTCTCTTAAGATAAGGTTTAAAATATTAAGGGAATTGTAAACATTTATAGGCTTTGCTATTTTGAGCTTCATTTTTCCGAGGCCTGCAATATTAGTTTTAAATTTAAACTGGACTGTATATTTCATTTGATTTGGAAAGGTTAATGATGTCAGTTAATATTAAAATAAAGATCATTGACCCAAAATAATAATTTCAAAATGCCCTGTTAGGAAAAATGTGATGTGTCAGATTTAATAAAGCAATAACATCCACAGGCAGAAGGAATCCTGTTGAAATAAATAAGCAGTATGCAAGATCATGCCTCATGTCTTGTGTAATTTTCACTAATTACTTTTAATTTTCAAAGGAGATGTTACGGTGGTATACATCCATTGCTAGTTGTGGCCTAATAAGGTTTCAAAACATCACTTTCCATTTTCTTGGCATATAATAATAAAATTGTAATAGCCAAGCTTCAGAGATGCTTATGTCCATTTGCAGAGTGCTTCAAAATATAAATAAGTTGAGATTCATTCATTTCCTCAGCAGTGCTTTATTCTTAATAGATGAAGGATTTCATGACCTTCATGGGGTCATAGAAATAAGCTGAAATGCCATTTTCTGCACGGAAAACTTTGGGTCCACATCTACAGTTACTAAAGTAGTTTTATATTTGTCACAGTAGATTTAAAGTCCCCAGCTTCCTGTTTGTTATTGTAACTCAGGGCAGAGGGAGAATTAGTCCTGATTTGCCCTATAGCTAGGCCACAACATCAAACAAATCTACTGTATTTCCATCCTTGCTCATAGTGTAACAGACAAATTTCAGAGGAGCATGAAGGGAACTGTAGTTTAAGTCCAGCCCTTTCTGCTGATGAAGACTTACTTGTAAGTGGTATCAAGCTCTATTCAATATTGGAGTTACAGAAACACTCCTATTAGGGGCCACCGTCTATAAAAGAGTACTTATGTTTGTTAGTGTTTCATGTTGTTGGATCTAGCCATTAATACATCAGGCTTATCCTGGATGTTGAGGTATTGAAAAATGGAACAGGTGATTCACAGAAATCAACAAGTTTTGTGTTAAAAAAAGGAAACATTAACCGATAAACCAAAGGAATCACATTCAGTGTAAATCAAGCATATTGGTTGCTGAAAGCTTTTGAACAAAATTAGTAATTTACAAGAGGGTGGCTTGCAACATGAACTGATCTTTTCAAATGTTGATTTCTCTTCATGGTCAAATGTCTGAGCAAACAGAGAGGTGCCCTGAAGATGAGAAAGCTGATCATTTGCACTGTAACATGCTTTAGCAACAGAAGGCTTGCGGCAGTAGAACCGATTCGTTATACTGCATTTCTGTTCATATACATTCCTTTTTTCTTCTCCTCTGTATCCTGTTGTTTTTCTCAATCCTTTTGCTACCTGTGTAAATAAAGTAAATGGACCTTTTCGTAAACTGAGATGCTAAATATTCCGGAATGAGTACATTTTACCTCTGGTTCAGTTGTTTATGCACAATGTGATATCAAGCTGAGCAGACTACTTTCATATAAAAGAGATTATCATTTAGCTGGGAGTATATGCGTTGACTGTATCATATATTTCACCAGTTGTCTCTCTCTGTCCCACAATAGCAGGGAAAGACGATGCTGAATCTCCACACTGGTTATGTCCTATTTTATCTTGTCTTGAACTAGTATTCCTATTTGATTCTCTGAAGACTATCTGCTGCAAGAAAAAGCTCAGCAGTTTCCATAATTTAGCCTTCTCTGCAAACCAATGAGGATAGAGTCCCAGATGCTGCTCATGTCATCCACCATGAGCAAACCTACTTTGTCAGTTTCCTTAATATCTCTCTCATCAAAATATAGTTTTCACTATGGATTCTTCTGCAGGAATGTATCACTTCGTCCGTCATCCAGAGTGTAACTTCCCTTGCCCAGTACAGACAGTTTTAAAAACCGTACAGTTCATATACTAGGGCAATAACATTCACATGGTTTATGGGCAATAACATTCACATGGTTTATGGGATTTACAGCTTGAAGCATTCCAGCTAAGTTGCCACTCGGGATTGGGAGTTTTGTACCGGGCGGGGGGGGGGCAGCTTCTGGAGTTCACCCAGAATCTCCAGGCAGATTTCTGGGAACTAAAAAACAATTTTTGGAGCAACTTGCCCTACAAGTGCTCCTGTTTATGTGGTTTTGAGCTCCTTTGAACAGTAAAGCAGCAAAGCAACTGCTCTCAAATACTGTACCATGATAGTCAGCAGAGCTACCTGGGAGTTCATGGGAAGGGCTACCCCTCCCATTAGTACTTTCAAGTTTTTGGTAGCATTGTGACTTTGAGGATTTTCCAGGGCAGTTGCTTTGTTATTCAAAGAAATTCAAAAACCCACAAATTGGAGCACCGTGGATGTAGAGAGAGCTGGTCTGAAGCCTGCTGGTTTTTAGTTCCCAATCTCAGAATTCTGCCCGGGGGATTTTGGGAGAGAAGTCCAAAAAACCCAGAAGTCCCATGCTCAGTTGCTAGTACTTCCTTTTGCACCCTTAAATCAAGTCTCCAGTTCCATGAGAAACATAATGTGAAATTCTTGGCTTTAATGTTTTGTTATAAATGTTCACACATCATACAAGTGTAACTTTAAATTCTTTTGTAGAGGTCTGTTTTGTATATAATATGGAAACCTTGGTTTCTTTAATGATGAAATTAATGTTTTGTTACATCATTCTTTTTAAGTTTGATACAATTTGTTTTTTGTTTGGGTTTTTTTAACATCTTGCATTATGTGTTTACTAGAATAAAATAAACTGCTCTAAAAATAATCTGAAAATATGGTTTCAATGTTATTCCACTTAGAATGTGCCAAGGGCAGCTAGCTCATGCATGTTTTTACAGATGTTCAGTCCACCCTGGGATTCTGTTTTCACTGTTGGCTTAATCTAGTGCAGTCATTGGCAGTTTGATCAGTCCACGTTAGGTACTAAGACCTTTCCTAGGAATGTAGAGAGACATTTAAACATAGGAGGAGCTATCCTATAAATTATCTCCTCCAACAACTAATGTACATATTTATTTATTTATTTATTTATTTATTTATTTATTTATTTATTTATTTATTTATTTATTTATTTATTTATTTATTTATTTATTTATTTATTTATTTATTTATTTNNTAGGATGCTCTGTTATAAAACAGATAACTAACTGTGTAACTTCTAACCACTTTTCTTGCCCAGTGTACTGAAGCCCTGCAGCACCAAAGAAAAAGAGGCTAGTGTCTTACATTTGAAGTAATAAGCTTTCTGTTTATCAGAAGAGGAAATCTTCTCAATAGATATCAATGTCCTATTGTCATTAGTGCATAACACTTATATACATCTCACTGACCGAATGGGGCAACACTATCTAGGACTAAACAATTGGTTTCAGCCCTGCAGTTGGAAGAATATTCCAAACTAGAAAGACCTGAATCTATAGTGAAAACTAAACAGGTTGTACTCAGAGAATGCTCTCATGGGTCAGTGATCTTCTGAGAAAGTGGTGGGCCGAAGCAGTAGGCAACTTTCTGCTCCCGATTCTTATGTTTCACATGTCAGAACTTATTATTTCTCTTTTTAAAACAGCAAAACACTATGGACAAAGTAAAAAATAGTAATGAGGTGACAATAATTGTTAAAGCTTTAAGCTGTATGGAAAAAAAACCCAGCCAGTTGTTGCCACCTCAGTTATGTTAACCAGGCTTAAGAATGCACATACATTCCTGTGAAATAACCCAAAACACCAACTTCATTATTAGCTGACAATGAGCCTCTACAGGCGCTCATAGGTAGCCACTGCACTCAAGCAGCAGATTTTGCAGTACCAGTGTATTTTTGCCATCTATCCATGGCATGGATCCACATGAATTTTAATGTACGCTCATCTCCAAATCATTGCCCATCTCCATTTCCTCGGTTGTGGCACTGGTGTGCGAGGTTGGACTGGAAGCTTTCTTGAAGTGGCATATTTTCTCCCCACTTGTACTCTGCAGGGAGCTCTCCATGGAGTGCTCATGGTGTTGATGATGAAGATGAGGCTTGCTAGGTCTCAGAGAATGAGCTGCTGTTCCAGGAAATGGCTCGGCTCCCCTGAATCTCCAGGCCAGGCAAACAAATGTGAGGAGCAGTGGTGGAAGGGAAGGAGCGAGTATCGTTTATTGTTACCGAGTGGCCATAGTGTTTGCGTACCAAACTCCAACCCTCTCCGAATGGCACCAGGGCTCACTGGCTTCCTGTGTCTCCAACACGACATATAATATACTTGCTTAGGAGCTCAGACAGGGAACCCACAATGCCTAACTCACTCCCACACACATGCATGGAGAAATATTATGTTCCCAATTCCTGTGACATCAAAAGGCCCCATACCATGACTTCACAAAGACCCAGGCCAGGCATTGGGCCCCAGATATATGGTAATGAGGGGATGGGAAGATAATCCCATTACAGCCTCTGACAAACAAGACAACACTTTAAAACCATTCCAGAAAATTCTTTTATTGGTTTTGGAAAAGAGGCTAAACGGGTATCCTCAGCAGAGACAATGGCCTGGTTCAGCTCCAGAAGGATGCCTGCCTTCTGGTCCCTTTCATCCGCCTGGGGAAGAGGAAGCTTCGGGCCCTGCAAGAGAAAGAGAGAGAAAAAAACAACTAAGGGGCGAGCTCGTCCACTGACATCAACTGGCTTCCACCCAGGCATATCCACCAACCAATGTTCTGGCAACTTCATCACGAAGTTCCACCTGCCAACATCCACTGGCTTCCACCAGGAATATTCACCCGTTCATCTCTTCCACCCCACTTCTGAAGCCAGCCTCCACCAGCTCCGAAATGCTTGGGTTACCCACACGCCCTGGTGACATCCCCATGGAATGCCAGCCAGCCCATTAACACACACAT